TGTATCATCATGTATCAACCTGTATCATCATGTATCAACATGTATTATCATGTATCAACCTGTATCATCATGTATCAACCTGTATCACCATGTATCAACCTGTATCATAATTTATCAACCTGTATCATCATGTATCAACCTGTATCATCATGTATCATCCTGTATCATCATGTGTCAACCTGTATCATCATGTATAAACCTGTATCATCATGTATCATCATGAAACATCATGTATCATCATGTATCATCATGTATCAACCTGTAACATCATGTATCATCATGTATCAATCTGGAACATCATGTATCATCATGTTTCATCATTTATAATCATGTATCAACCTGTATTATCATGTATCATCATGTATCATCATGTATCATCATGTATCATCATGTATCAACCTGTATCATCATGTATCATCATGTATCATCATGTATCATCATGTATCATCATGTATTATCATGTATCATCATGTATCATCATGTATCAACCTGTATCATCATGTATCATCATGTATAATCATGTAACATGGTGTATCATGGTGTATCACGGTGTATCAACCTGTATCGTCATGTATTATGTATCATCATGTATCTAAAATGTTTTCTATCTGAAATGTTTTCTATTTGGAATGTTTTCTATCTGAAATGTTTTCTATCTGAAATGTTTTCTATCTGAAATGTTTTCTCTCTGAAATGTTTTCTATCTGAAATGTTTTCTATTTGGAATGTTTCTATCTGTAATGTTTTCTAACTGGAATGTTTTCTATCTGGAATGTTTTTATCTGAAATGTTTTCTATTTGGAATGTTTTCTATGCGTTTTGTAACTTTTAGACAGTTTTCTTTATCAATTCTTTATATTTTCTTTTTCCATATTTATATTCCCAACAGTTTCTTCTAAAAATAGTTTTATTGTTTCAAGTTTGGTCGCCTGGGGAATTGAGGCATTGGAGGAACTTTTCGGCGTGGGAGGGAGGGGGATGTGTATTTTGGGAGGGGGGAAAGAGGGGGAAGGTTTTTTATTTAAAGAAGAAATAATTGAATTTTCTTAAAGCTGAATTTCCTTGAAACTAATTTCTTTAAATCTTTTCTGAGAAATGTTTTATTCAGAGATAAGTAGATTTCAATTTTTTTGAAAAGAATTTAATTGAACTTCAAATTAAAAAGTAGAGAAGATAAAGGATAATCTAGATATTTCAGAGAAAATGAGCCTTTTGAGATAAAGTTTAGGTTGCAGCTAAGCTTACGTTACACTTTTTGATCCATTGGGGAAACATGGTTTGAAACCATTTCGAGTCGTCTTCGTGTTTCCTTGTCTTTAAATCTTAAATGCATCTATGTAACCGAAATCGTTATAATTCTTTACACTATTCCTGTAAGGAGGGGCAATATACTCCCTGAGCCAGTGATTCAAAAAAATTCGAAAAATTCGACTTAGGTCTTAGCTGTCATTGTGCCTTATTTACAGCTCGAGTCTTGGGATAAGCTGTAACTAATTTTCCACAGAGTTGGATTTATAAAAACCGGTTTAAAATCGTATTTAGCGGATTTTCATGGTTAAAAATTGGCGGATTCTGGGATTTGATTAGCATAAGATTCAACATTGAAACTAATTCTCCACTATAAAACCAACCAAGGTCCTAATTCCAAAAGTCGAGCCAAAGATCTTGCAGCTGTCAATCACGTGACACAAGCTGTCGTCAGAGTTGGGTCTAAGATTGAGTCTTAAACCTGGGTTTAAGGAATTACGATTCGAGCCTAAAGTTTTAAATCACGGGCTCATGTAAAACAATTCCCAAATTACAAAATCTGAAATCCTGTACGGCATTTCTATTTTTGACTGGAAGAAAAAGTACAAAGGAAAATAAAATTCTTTCAATGGTTTAAACACCGAAGTCAGAACCATATACCTATAGAATAGGAAGACGACTGAAGTCAAGATTTGAATATATCGTCCAACAAATATGAAATATGCTGTTTACAAAATTTATTTGATGTCCAAGCTACTGAATTACACATTTTGCGTTATATTATAGCACCAATCAATATTAAGATTGCTTAAATATCATCATCCTATTCTACAGTTTTAGGATTCTCACTGTAAATATAAAGGTTTATCATTTTATCTATTAATTATATGCAACACAAAAGAAATAATTATCAGACAAAAAGGGGAACTTACTCAACAACATTAAATCTAGTTTTAAAATAATTCTTACAAGGTTTTAAATTCTAACTTTTAAATTCCTGATTGTAGATTAATGGTTCAAATATGTCAACGTCTTATAGAAATTGCTTTCAGTGTTAAGAAAAAGTGTTATTTTCCTTTATTCTTTATTTCAGAAATTCAAAGCTTTGAAAATTGATTTTTTTCAAAGTTTAAAACGTTAATTTTCTCTGTAGAAAGGTAATAGTATAGGTAATAAATCCAGTAAGGATGCTTACAAGAAAATGCTAAGAGGTCAATATTTATAAAGTGTGAATCCCGAATAATTAGAACCATGGATATATAATAGATGGATATATCACAGTCAAGGTTTGATGTAATTTTTTCGCTGGTGTGTTATGCATTACGTTAGACATTGGACCCAGGAACTTACAATTTGTCTTTGGTTTTCGTAAAAATAATAGATGTCAAAGTAGTATAGAAAAACATTGTAAGTCTTTAAAACTTTAAGATTTAGCCTCCTTTTTTCTATTATAAAAATTGAATTGGAGATACTAAAGATTTAAACAACCTTGCTGATATTTAATATTTTGAATTTTAAACAAATTTCTCAATATCTTGGTCTGGTCAATTCTTAAGGTACAAAAACGGCAGACCACATTTTGGAATTCTGATGCTACCAACTCTTTGAAGAAAATGCTATGATCACAAGATTTTAGCTTCAGTATCTCATTTCTGCTTACTCCAGGGCCCACTATCTACCAAAGTTCTTCTCTAATTTGGACCCTGAACTTCACTTCAAACTTTTTTAAAAGTACAAATTATTTTTATAGAATGAACAATAGCCAGAATAAAAATTTGTTATAGTAAAACCTAAAATTTGCTATGCAGAGGTTTTAGAAATTTCCTAAAAATATCTAGGGTCCACTGAGATATAATAGCTGCGTAGCCCACCGACAAAGTTACATGTACACTAGCCCAGTATAGTATAGATCGGTAGATACATATAAGCGGGCCGTGATAAGAACCTTGTTTAGACCTACGGATATAAATTGATTTCTTTTGCATAATTGGGGAGGTGGTCTTTGCATAATACCATACATACCATAATATAGACATGGAAAATTACTTTATTTGTTTATGTTAAACTTTCAAGGTTTTTTGAAATTTTAACAGGTTCCACAAAACCTGAAAAGTTTTACAATATTAAAACAGAGTCCGTGATTTAAAAAATTCGGGAAAATATGGCTCGGGTCCAGCCTGTCGTTGGGCCTTATTTACAACTTGAGTTTTCGGGTTCAAGCTGCATCTTATTTTTCACAGAGTTGAGTTCAAAACACCGGTTTCATATTCTATTTGCCGAATTTTCATGCTAGGAATTGGCGCATTTCGGGTATTTATGAGAACAATTGACTCAACATTGAGCCTTATTCTCCACAAAAGCCAACTGAGATCGGTTTTATTTTCATTGGGGCTAACTCCTTAAGTCGAGCCGAAGATCTTGCTGCTGTCAATCATGTGACACAAGCTGTCGTCAGAGTTGGGTCGAAGATTGGGCCTTAAAGTCGGGTTTAAGGAATTACGGCTCGGGCCGAAATTTTTAAATCGCGGGCTCTGGTCTATTTCAAACATTTTCTCTTCCTACACTATGCCAAATTTTGACCCGGGGAGAAGATAAATGAAAATAAACCCTCATTATTCGGTTCATTTTCCCATAGATTTTTAGCCAGCATAGAGATTTTGAATTATTAACTAACAAAAGCAAACAGTTTAGAAATGTTGGAACCTTCACAAGTTCAAGTATTTGTGAGGTGCCTTTATAAGTTCAATAACCTTAAAAATGACAAAGAAAGGTTTAACTATTTGCTTCTAAGGTGTTTAGCGCTCCTTTCTAGAAACAGTTTTAGCCTTAAACTTTTGATTTTCAAGCCACCGTCTTATCGTTCTTCAACAAATGTTTTCAAAAATTGTAAACGGCAATATTTTTTTTTGGCAAAAAGCTTTTATTTTGACCATTTAGAAAGTGTAAAAATTAAATAAATCTTTTTAAATTTTTTTTAACTGGGATCGAAAGACATTCTTATAAAACTAAAAAAACCTGGGGCCGGCTTGAAATTTATTTAATTGATTTTAAAATTTAAATGGAAAAAATCTGTGGTTTTCTTATTGGATGCTTGTTATTTAGGCAAGTTCTCCTGCTTGTACTGAGCTTGAGTCCCTGGTGATGGATTGGCTGGGAATGATGATTGGTCTTCCAGCAGAATTCCTTCATAGGTAAACACCATCAGAACTCAGTAGTTAATACCTGCTTCAATTTTTACAACCGTTCGTTTGACAATTCAGCTGAAATTGTTCGTTTGACAAGGACATTCAGCTTAATCTTTTGTTTGACTAGGACATTCAGATGAATCCTTTGTTTGACAAGGACATTCAGCTTAATCCTTCGTTTGACAAGGACATTCAGCCGAATTGTTTGTTTGACAAGGACATTCAGCTGAACTGTTCGTTTGACAATGATAATCACCTGAATAGTTCGTTTGACAAAGACATTCAGCTTAATCTTTTGTTTGACAAGGACATTCAGATGAATCCTTTGTTTGACAATGACATTCAGCTTAATCCTTCGTTTGACAAGGACATTCAGCCGAATTGTTTGTTTGACAAGGACATTCAGCCGAATTGTTTGTTTGACAAGGACATTCAGCTGAATTGTTTGTTTAACAAGGACATTCAGCCGAATTGTTTGTTTGACAAGGACATTCACCTGAATTGTTAGTTTGACAAGGACATTCAGCTGAATCCTTTATCAAGGACATTCAGCCGAATTGTTTGTTTGACAAGGACATTCAACTGAATTGTTCGTTTAACAAAGGCAATCAGCTGGTTCAACCTAGTTCAAACTGGTTCAACCTAGTTTAATCTTGTCTAATCTGGTTCAATTTGGTTTAATCTGGTTCAATCTGGTTCAATCTGGTTCGATCTAGTTCAGTATGGTTCAATATAATTTAATCTGGTTACATCTGGTTCAATTTACTTCAATCTGGTTCAATCTGGTTCAATCTGGTTCAATCTGGTTCAATCTGGTTAAATCTGGTTCAATCTAGTTCGATATGGTTCAACCTGGTTCAGGATGAGTGGAGCTGAATTAGGATTGCCTTATCATCAACCAGAACATAAATATAATTGTTTACAATAAAAAAGCATTTTTCTCATATTCAATAATTTATGATTTTTCTCGACTAATAGGTTTAACAGTGTTTGATATTTTCCCGAAACAATGTGGTTGTTTCTTGTAAATCCCGGCAGGGAATGCCCCTGAAAAAAGGAAGTATTCTGAAATTGCATTGTTTCTAGAACTCCTGGAAGCCTGGGTGGAGGAGTTATCCAAACTACAGCTAGCGAATCCACCTTCGTTTCCCTTCTAGCTGGACGAACAGAGGCAATACAGAAATATCAGGTACACACAAATTCTGTAAAATAAAAACATTACATAAAAGTCAAAGCTGTAAATTAATGAATAGAGCTAAATGGTTAATCTGGAGTAACTACTTAATGTATTCATTAAATCTAACCTCTGTATTGTGCTATACTGTTCTATAATGTGCTGTATTGTACTGTGCTGTACTGTACTATTGTATAGAAAATGTTCCCGGATATAGAGGATGCTGAAATAAACTCCAGACTGGTGGGATACTGCTCTGATCAGGTTTGAACAATATATTTTAAATAATTAGGTTTTTTAAAAGAATTTTATTAAATAATATTGTTTAGGCACATTCTAGTGTTGAGAAGGCAGGGCTAATCGGCCTGGTTAAACTCAGGTAGCAGGGTTTTAATCATAGATTAATAATAATACAGATAAAACATTGGATTTCGTCTTTTCAAGATTTAGAGGTTTTTTCGTTCACAAAACACCTGAGGCGGAAGCCCAAAGGATTTACGCAGATGCTCTCTCTCTGTCTTGTAATTTAACGCGGCTTCTGCCTCAGGTTTATTGTGAACGAAAATCTTAAATCTTAAAAAGACCACATTTAGTTTTCTATCTGTATTGTTATCAATCTATGGTGTAAATATGCAACAAATTTCATATTGTAGAGAACAATTTCAAACTAAATTCTTTTTATTAATTTTGATTTTCTGGAATTGAACTAAATATGTTTAAAATCTGATATTTTTAGATATATCGAGAGCGACGAAAATCTTTCCCTTCGTGGAGATAAGCTTAGGAAACCATAAAATACTAGTATAGTGTCTGTCCACAGAGAACAGTTCTATGCATATTCAATAAACATGGGAATTGAGTTACGACGTGAAAGTCATCTTTGATTTATGAAATTTAATGCATGGCTCTAGTATGTAAAAAGACGAGGCTGTAGGTGTGGCAAGCTTTTCATAAAGTGTTCTCCTTTCTTGTATCTTAAAAATTGACGAAGACTTTAGATATTAAGACAATTTTGATTTATTAAATGAATTGAAATTTGAAAAAAACCTCCGTCAATTTTGAAGATACAAAAATTGTAGACCACATTTTTAAAATCTCAAGACCAGGCATTTTTTATATTCAAATCATATCAAATCAAATCATATATTTTTTGCAGTAAACATTATATCAAATTAAATAATATAAAAAGTAAAACTATGATTAAAGTTACTGCAGCCGGGGGGGCTCAGATAAATCAAAGCTGTTTACACAGAACCCCNTGTCTTATTGAAATAATATTCTTAATATTAAAACAAATTGACGACACACAAAAATACACATAATCACACAAATACTTCCATGAATAAAGTTTTAAATGTATAAAGAATTGTTAAAAACATGCTCTATAAGAAACCAAAAAGTGAAAATGCATGATCCAATTGCTGTTGAACCATCAAATGCATTCATTTTCTCTCCACTTGCAGCTGCATATTGCTTCCGATAATGGATAAATTCTCGAACACGCACTCGTAAAGGCCACACAGCTGGCGAAAGGGATTTCTGTAAATCTGCAGCGGCTACCCGAACCCTGTAGCTTACTATATTAAATGCCTCACTTGGTCTGGACAACAAAACTACACCATCAGCTGTCATCTTAATATCAGTCTCTCATCTAAGTCATCAACAACATCTTGTTTAGTAATTCAATTAGGAATTCCAGAAAGGAATATATCAGATGGAGGTGAAGTAATCTTTCTTATTTTCTCCTGAGTCCTATACCCCTTTGATATTTCCTTTACATCCCCTTTAAGTTGTAATACTGCAATAAATGTGTTCATGAAAAAAAATGCTGCATAGATCGAAGACGATATAAAAGTAAACACTTAATTCCCATGTTTATTGGGACACCCTGTATATAAATTATTATAAATTTAGTATTTTAATGCTTAAACACTAAAGGGAAGCGATCAAAAAAGACCGTGAAAATGGACTCGTACCCTTCTATGTAAGTTATGCTTTTCCAAATCTGGTTTTTAAAAAATTTTTGAACTTTACTTTAGAGCCAATTTTATTAGAGAAAATTTAAAAAAACTCTAGACCAACCTTTTTTCAAATATTTCAACTAAAGGCACATACAATGAAGCATTGCAAAATAAAATTTCTTTTTACTATATAAAATATAAAATTTATAAAAGTTAAAGTTAAAAATAGAAGATGTTGATTAAACTTTATTTAGCTCTGCGCTACCCTTGGAACTACTGGAGCTTGTGCATTCGACAATCTTCAGGAACTAGGACCTATCTGTCAGGTTAGATACAGGAACTACAGTACCTATCTGTCAGTTTAGATACAGGAACTATTGGACCTATCAGTAAGGTTAGATACAGGAACTATAGGACCTATCTGCCAGGTTAGATACAGGAACTATATGTGACCTATCTGTCAGGTTAGATACAGGAACTATAGTACCTATCTGNAATAATTATAATAATTTATAACATTAATGAGACAAATGTAATTTCAAAATTATTTTTGCTATCGATAATAGCAGGAAACAATGTGTGAATAAAATCTTATAAAAATATCGCTGTTCATTGTAACTATAAAAGAAATAATAAAGATAATACTAATATTGACAGAAATATCATTGATAATATAACTGAGATGAGATTTTAAAAGCTTCAACTTGACTAAAACCCTGTCTTTGCGTCTGCTTAGACCCAAGTAAAGCTCAAGTCAAGACCCGGGTTTTAGATGACCTTCATTTTAGTAAGGCTCGAGTCTTCAGTAGCTGATGATCGTAAATTTAGTAAAATCTTTTATATTTGTACATTTAAAATCTCGGGAATTATTTGTGGTGTCAAATTTTATTAAATATATAAAATAAACATACTATGAAAATAATGTATCAACATAAAGTTTGAATTTTCGAAATTTACATCTCCTTGTCACAGCTGATCTGACGACATTCTGTCTGCTACAGAGAGAAAGCTTGCTAAACAGTCTCTTATTGGTCGAATCAGAACCAATCCTGACTTGGGTTTTATCTAAGCCCGAGTTTGGGTTATATAGTCGGGGTTAAGCTTTTAAAATCTCATCTCTGATTAGGGATTGAGTTTGCTGATTCTATTGCGTTTAACCCCAGTAAATGGTTGTTGGTTCACTTTGACTGCACAGCAATGTGGTAAGCAATATTTTATTTGTTTTCTTAAACAGGAACTTTTTAAAAGAGTCAAAAGACAAATCCCAATATAATGTAAATGACCTTTATCACCAATTTTTCAAAGATTTAAATATTAAAAATGAGTTAGCAGTGCCTATAAATATCAGTACCACCTTCAGATATCTTCTATATAATAAAGCTCTTCTCTCATATATATTTGTATGTTATAATAGCTGGCCAAATGATTGAACCGAATTAGCTGAATTTTTTAGGGAACCATTGGGTACCCTGGGGGTAACATAGGGGGAAAAAATCTAAAAAATTTCTTTAAAAATCGATTTGAATTTCCATGGGCAATGCCAGGCACTTCAGCTAGTTATATGTAAATTTCGCAGACCTTTTTAACATTTTAATTTTTTAAGATTTCATATCTAATATTTTCATAAATTTCAACATTTAATATCATATATTAAAGCCTTCACTCATAAATATACATTTGTAAATATGTTAGCTATAGCTGGCCAAACGGCTGAACCAAATTGGCTGAAATGCACACCCGGCCTGGGGTTTACATCGGGTAAAAAAATCGAATTTTTTCCCTCAAAAGGGATTTTAAGATTCCACGGGCAACGCCGGGAACTTTAGCTAGTATTTTCATAAATTTTAATATTTCAAATTGTAATAAATTTCAACATTAAAATATTTCAAAAATAAGTTTTATTACTATTTATTTTATATTCAGAGTTAAAAATCCAATATCAGATGTAACAACACCCTTTCGTTTTCCCCTCCTTTCCTTCCCACTCTTCCTTTCTACCTTTCCTTCCTTTCCACCATTCCTTCCTTCCCACCCCTCCTTCCCAATCCCCTGGACCACAATCAATCTTGGAAAATTATCTGTTCACTGTGACTGGATCATTGCTTTATGTATACCCTTATTATTATAAAACTACTTACATTAATCTTTTAATTAGTTTATTAATTAGTTCATTAATTAGTTCATTAATTAATTCATTTGTTAGTTCATTAATTAATGGATTAATGGCATGTTGTGAGTTAATTTAGATATCATTACAATTGTTTTCTAATTAATGAACTTATGAAGATGGTCAATGAATGAATTTATGAAAAATGAATCTCTGACATAATGAATTAATGGATTTATGAGAAACGGATTAACAATTTAATTCATTAAAAACATAATTCATTACTTAATAAATTAATTCATTAAGAAATAAATTCATTAATTTATAATTGAATTAGCAAAATATTTGTTAATGAATTAGTAAAAAAAATTATCTAATGAAGATACTGATTTATTCATTAATGAATTAATAAAACAATGAATTAATGAACTTATGAATATTGAATCTGTGAATTGATAAATAAATTAATGTTTTAATTAATGAATTAATGAATTAATGAATTAATGAATTAATGAATTAATGAATTAATGAATTAATGAATAAATGAATTAATGAATTAATGAATTAATAAATTAATGAATTGATAAAGTAATGAATTGATGAATTAATAAATTTACGAATATTGAATTAATACATTAATGAATTTATGATTTAATGAATTAATGAAGTAATGAATGAATTAAACAATTAATAAATTTATGAATATTAAATTAATAAGTAATGAATTTATGATTTAATCAATTTTCCCATTTATGAATTAATGAATTAATGAATTATCTAGGGTTAAGAACAGCAGATCTCTACATAGAACCTTCAATGTAGAACCCCTGTATCTACAACACGAAAATACAGGTATATATATCTATTTATATGTAAACCTGTAGGATGTATATATACAATTAACGTCAACACCGCAGAACCAAAAAGGCCCAGTATCTCAAACGTCGACGTTCAAAATCATCCATTTGGGTGGTTACGTTTTGAGAATCGATTCTACAGTAAACTAAATAGATATTTTGGAACATATTTCTCAACAGAAATTTGTCAATAAATCAATGTCAGAATCAATTATTTCCTTTTTATCATTTTGAATTTCTTATTCTTTACGAATTTGTTCGCAGATTTCTACAAAACGCAACCACCTAAATGGATGATTTTGATCGTGACTTTGCGCTCAAGCTCAGTAATAAACGTCATCATTAAAACGTTTTATATTGGATATTAAACAATCGATTATAAAGCAGTGCTTGCATGCTTAACTCCATGCTTAAGTCTAAATATGATTTGAAAGTTATTTTGTTCAAATATAGGTCTTGCGATTGATTACATGGTAAGTTACATTTTCATTTATATCATCATTATTATTATTGTTCTTGTTATCAATAATCCTTGTTATAATTATTATAAAATTGTTATTATTATTATCATTATTATATTTATTATTATTATTTTCATCATCATCATAATCATTATTAATATGCTCATTATTCTTATTATTATTAGTATTATTATTACTTTTATT